CTGGAATTGTACATTATGGGCAATGCAAGCTTTGATTTCCAGCAGTTTTGTGCACCTGTATTTCTTGCATAACAGGCAGGATTGAAGAAAACTGGACTCAGAAAATGGCAAAAAATTGTGTTCACAATTAAAAACAGAAAGATAGGAACTCAAGACACTGTCAGTTCATTTGCAGAAACAAAGCCTGCTGAAGAGCTGTAGTATTACACTGTATATAAATGACACAAGAAGTGACTCACTCAGAGCATGATATAAAAAAAGGGAAAGTAGCCATAAAATATTTATCAGTTGTAACTATTGTTTATAACAAGATGGAAATGTTATTAAATTGTCCATTATATTGAACCCTAAAATGTTCTGATTATATTCACTGATCTATATTAGACAATCCAGCACTATGCATGAGTCAATTCTGCAGTCTCCACCACCACCACCCCTCCCCTGGACCAACTTCAGGGCATTAAATTTTTTCTGGAATAAAATAAGACAAATTCCCAGGGTGGGGAACAAGAATGTTGCTTGAAATAAACCCTACAAGGCAAATATCCCATCCCAAGGCTCAACTAGAAGACAAAACGGCTTTAAAATCCTTAGTGAAAAGAGGTTGTTTAACATCATTTCGTATGCCAGTTTGTTTACATGTGTCTGCTTCTGATGATCTTTTGGCCAACGTCAGATGGCACCTTTTGATGATGCCAAATAATTTGTCCAAAAATTCTCAGACAACACTGCTTGACAGTAGGGCATTTGAAATTTTGTCACTGGCCAAGTGTCTGGCATTTATCTACCCATGGGACAAGACACTAGGGCAGTGATGAAATTTGAAATGCTCCACCCCTAGGGAATAAAGCCTTAGCAAATGCCTAACTAATGCCCAGGGGGTGCAGGATGGCCATTGCTGGAACTGAATAACACATTATCAACATTAATTATTTTGAGAACACTACTAAAATTCTAAAAGTCTTTCACTGCAATTTATTAACTTGACAATAATTTTTATTTATCTTTTGGAAATTATCCAATAATGCACTGTTGTACATGTGTTACTGTAGCTACTCTGTTGAAATTTTTGATTTATCAAAGTCTGCTATCTGTTGGCAAATACTCTGCTTTATTTAAGATGGACTTTCACAAAGTCCCCTTTCTAATTTTTGTTGTCGACTGTAAAGAAGTCGACTTATAGCAAGTCAATATGAAGCTTCAGTTAAAGAACTGTTTAATTCTTTGACTTGGCAGTCTGTCCTAATTTGACATAATCTAATTCATCTACTATTCATTCTCCTTTACATAGCATCTGCAGATGTGTAATACATATATTATCATAACTGTTAATAGTAACATTCCAGAAAGGCTTTCCTGACTGTACAAGGTTACTTCTTTTTTTACACTTTATTTTGTGCAGCTTTTGAATTTTCATATCCTGTCTAGCACTCACTCTAGACATCATATTGTAGTTTTCATTGAAAGTTAAGGCAAGGCTGTGCAAGTGCACTGGAGAACTAAACATTATTTTCAGCTGAGGCTAATCTGTATCCACAAGAAAATGACCAATGTCACCATACATGTTTTCCTCAAACACATTGTTTGTCATTTCTAACTCAACGCCATACTCAGGGTCATCACTGGCAGTGAATATGTCATTATCTTTCTTGACACAGATACCATAGCAATGATTGTTTGTAATGTAATTATCTGACAGAATAGCTTTTGTCTTCTTACAATCTGACTTTGCCTGCAAATGCAAATACATTGCTGAGTTAAGAATTTCTGAGCATCATTAATTTTTGCAGCTGCCTGTTGCATGGATTGACTACTGTGAGTTCCAGGTATGGCAGAAACAGTGGTACACCTTGAGATTGATCAAATGGAATTGATCAACAGCTAAATGAACTGCTGTAGCGACTTTGTGAAGTTGACATTTTGAGCGTCACCCCCTCATCAGAGCAAAGTATACTGAGTAACTGTGGTTAGCCTTAAAGGAGCTCAGTCACGGTTTGCGCATAGTGAAAAGTTTAGCCTTGATTTTTCAAATTCATCGTTTGTAATCCATGTTAATCTTCTCCATCCTTAGCCATCCTTGTTCCTTTATGGTTTATCATTATGTCTTTGGTGTTTCTATCTTCTTAAGCTGTTATTTTCAGGTTTCCTACCATTTAAAGGTAATTTTGTATGTGGCCAAAATAACTCAAAATATCGTGACTGAGCTCTTTTAAGTACAGCCTGTGAAAAATTTGCCCTTCCCCCTCTCTCAAGTAACTTACAGCCATGGTGGCAAACTCATAGCCAACACACAGCTGAAAGATAGACTGGATTTTTTTAGTTCTTCCCTATTATCGCCTTGGACTCTAGATTGTTTGGTCTGAGTTCAAGCCATGGCCAGGGTTTTTGTACTCTGTTCCTGGGTGAGCCACTTAACAGCCACAGTACCTCTGTACCCAGGAATTTTGCAAATTGTTAGGGAAAGCTGACAAAACCACTTCATAGCAAGTTTTGCAGATGAGTAGCAGGAATATTTGCTGTCACTGCTTGCTATGGAACCCCTTAAATGTTTTTGTTACCATTATTGTTTATATATCAGCCATGTATCAGTCAGCATTTGGTCAATACAAGGCCGATACTTGGCCAACATATTGACCAAGTGTTGGTTGATATACTGGTCAAGATAGTGTCAACTGACACTACCTACAGTAAACATGATCCAAATTATTTACCCCCAATGACTAATAATCAGGGCATTTTAGCAAAAGGGGAAACAACCAACATCAGCCAAAAATAATATAAAAAGAAAGGAAAAAAGAAACTGAAACAAACCTCCAGCAGAATGGCTCCAGTGGCCAATCCTTCAGACAGATCAGAATTTTTGCCAAATTCACCATTGTCAAACAGTTTGGTGTTCTCTAAATGAAGTGTTGCACCAGAGGAAACAGTGATTCCTGCCGACTAACCAAACAACACAATCACAAATCCTTACTGAGGGCTGTTTTAGACAGAGGGAAACTAAATGCATTGATTCAGCTGTACAGCACAAAATTGAACAATATTTTCAACAGAAATCGTCACAAGATCTCGGCAACAAATCTGTCCTGGGCTACAGGCAGGCTTGTCACAGTTTTCTCAAGTAGGCAGCTGACTTTGCCATCTTTGTGTAAAGTCATATGAACAGCCAAGAGGGTAGCCCACTGAGATCATGGAGTATATAATGATTTTTGCTAGCTACAAGTTTTTGATGAACCTGCAAAATGATGCTTAATTATATGCACAAACTTCTTTGCATCTACTTTTTCTAATTAAATTTTTATAACCATTTAGCAACATGAATTGAAGCCATTTGTGCTCGGGTTGTGGGGAGTTTCAGTCTAGGGGCCAGCTGATCACAGTGGAGGCCCCCAGACCTCTAAGGCACCCATCTTCCATGCAGCTTGATAACGTTGTAAATGACTATATATATTTGACCTTATCCAGCTTACCTTAGCACCATGCACCTTGCACTGTCTCATAACAAGCTCTCCATTGCTTTCCACAGACACACCATTAGTCTCACATCTCATATCACAGTCATCAAAAGTGACTCGGCCATTCTTGACAACTACAATTCCCTCACTATCATTTCCTTCTTGCTCAAAGGTAATGTTCTTGATGCTGATATTACTTGCACAGAATTCCATTGTGAATTCATCATTATCACTACAAAATACTGTTAAATAAGTTGTTAGAGTTTATAGGAGATTGTTTATAGGTATTAAAGATTGTACGTGTGTCGGTTAGAACTAATTAAATCACTAACAAATGGCGTGACTTAAAACCATTATTAATACATGTTTCCTTATAATTCTTATGTCTTGTCTTTAAGGTTGCTCGATTGGATTTTTGAGTAACAAGTTTGTTCAACTTTGAGTGAGTAGAGCACAACCAAAGCAAAATTACACCCCAAACCAGCTGATATTCAAGCAATCATTTTTACCATCAAATGGATCAATTTCTCTGATGTTCCACTGAACGTAAAGGTAATTAGTTGTGATAAGATTCATTTAAGACCAAAATACCATAGTCAAGTCTTTTGGACATAGTGGTGCTCTAGTCGCTCAAATTAACAAATTGCCGTCAGCTTTTCATGCGTCTGTCCTGATTGATCACGAATTTTGTCATAACATTGTCAAAGTAGCTGTGGATCCACCAAGCGATAGCCAAGCAGATCCGCAGACTACTTTGACAATGTTATGACAAAATTCATTGTCAATAACAGGACAGACACATTAAAAACTGACATCAATTTGTTTTTTATGATAACAAATTATCAAATTGTCTGCCCTCGCTTGCTGACGCAAAGCATAAATGATAAATTCATGCGTCTGTCCGCTTATTGACAATAAAAATTAGCCAATGAGTGCGCCAGAATTTCTGTAGTTATTGTAAAAAATCCCATTGAACCACCTTAATTAATGTTGACTTTCAAAGCCGTCTTTGCTAAACACGACAAACGCAGCCAATTAATATTGCAGTATATTGATTTTTTTATGGCATAGCTCCTTTTAACAACTCCTTACCAACAATTTCAGAAAAGTTTCCCATTCCAGTAATATGAACAGAATCTGCAAGTTGGTAGACACGACCATCAAGGTTATACCTTCCAGGGTAAACAACAATAGTATCTCCATTATAATAGGTACGCAGCGCTTTTCCCAAGCAAGGCAAATGTTCAACCACTGTGTTGTCTATAAAAAAAAAGTATATAATTATTTTTTTAAATTTATGAGGTAACAAATATTCATTGATTTACCAGCAGGCTTTGTTAGCTTTTCTTTTGAAGCCTTGTCAAATTCTGCTGACAATGAATTAAGTCAAAGTTATTGAATATTAGCTGATCAATCAGTCTAAGTGAGATAGTCATGGAAACATTTTTGAATTTTGACCAAAATTTCCTATTTACAGGTGACTGGCTGTATAATAATTATACAGCCAGTCACCTGTAAATATTGTTACTTACAAGGACTGTATCATGCTGCTGTACATGCTAATCCATAAAATAAGTGTATATTGGTGTGTCTGATCTGTAATACATGTCATAGGTCAATTTGTCCTTTAGGTCAAAATGTTTTCAACCCAGGTTAATTTGTGTCAAAGGAGAAGGGGTGAAGATCAGGGTGGACTACAAAGTCAGAGATTAGGTGTTCAAATCTAGGTTTAATACAAAATATAAAAAAGATCAGAGGAGGAGGGCTGGGTTTTTTGTTAGGGGGGATTGATATGGGATCCTGGCAGGGTAGGGTAAGGTTAGGAACTGAGGGGAGTGGGCAGTATGCATGTTCTTTTGAAGAAAACCTCCCAAAAGTGAAAAAATATATAAATGAACTGGTTTGAAATCATTCTCACCTAAGGAAAAAAATGACCTACAACATATATACCATTAAAAGGTTCTACAGTATGACAGACAAATTAATGCAGGGCATACATAATCTGCAGCTGGAAGATTTCACAAACTGTTGATGTTTTGGTAGTTTCCATGCTTTTTTTATAATTAAATTACCTGGGTTAATAGCTGGTCAAAATTTGCAAATTCATAGGAAAAAAAACTTTTTCTAAAAAAGTTGTGTTTTCAGTTTGTAAGGTCCCTTGATCAATTAGCAATAATACCTTACTGTTAGAAGGTAGCTCTAAATAAATTACACAAAACAAATTACCTTGAAAAGTCTTGAGCATGCCAGCTCGTAGCTTTGGAGCAACAATATAAGTGACAGGTTCATCGCCTTCAGGTCTGTTACCACGTGGTCCCTGTCTGGTCATTTTCGGCGACACAGTAGCCAGAAGATACCTCATTTGAGGATTCTCAATGATCTGCAGTGAGTGTACCAATGATTCACACATCTCAGACATCTGCGCACATCTGAGTACATCCATTTCGTCCAGCTCTTCACCAAGATCACTACCTCCCATTTTTTCTTGGAGCTGTTTGAGTTCTGCCAGCTTCTGTTTGTACTGTTCATAGGTATCTGTGAGGAGAAAGCACCCAGGACAATGAATTTATTACAACTCCTTAAAGACTGGCTCAAAAACACATTGAGAATACACACACCCGATAAACATTTGCAATTTATTCAGCTTGTTATGCGTAACTCAGGGGGAACTTGCATATAAAAAGATGGGGTGCTCGTTAGAAATTTTGAAAAGAATCCCTAAGTGGTACCAAGATCCTGTTTTGTGGGCATGGCTTGAAAGCTTTTTCTCCCTTAAGAGGTACCAATTCTAAAAGAGCACATCATTTCCTGTTATATCGTTTTTGGTGCAGAACTCTTAAAGGTACCACAAAAGCTCCTACTGTGGATGTTTTGGGGCTGAACGTTGTAAGAGGCACCAAAACTGCTTTTTCAATCCCTGAAAAATATGACAAGCACCCCTGTCCTTTTTCTATGGGAGTTCACTCCCTGGGCATGTAATACATATAACAAGGGTTGCATGTACAGTCTGTCAGATACATGCAAAATATCTATTAACCATAAGACAGCTGTTGTCCAGGAATAGTTTCAGCCATACGTGTGGGTAGTATGGATCAAAAGCAGCAAACGAAGTACATGCAGGAGACACCTAGGATTGAAATTCTCATAGGACAATCCCAACTGATTGAGCTTACTTGATAAGAGCGGCCCAAGCAGAACTGTCAGTGGAGACTTATCCATTGCAATATTTCAAAAATTAGATGCATTTGAGTTTAGTTATTGCATGACTTCACAACTGTCTTAGTTTTCCACTCATAATACCTTTATAGTTGTTAACAAGGTCTTTAGGAAGGCTTCCATTTTGTATGTCATAGTAGAGTTGAATCCTGGTGTCTAAATGTCGAGCGGCATAGCAATATTCCCCATCATCATCCTCATCCCACTCTCTCCAAATGTTCTCGTAAAAAAACCTGGAGAATATTAAGCATTACAATAAAATACTATAGTGTCAGGGCAACTCATCAAAGATGGTCTGAAACTGAAATGTTGAACCATGAGATAGCACACTTTATATTTCAAGACATGGTGTTTCCTTTCAATGTAAACTCAAAATATTCCAGTTATTACTCTATTAGATAGAATTTTGGAACCTCTGTAAGGAGGATAGATTAATGTAAAAAGAAAAAATTGGGTATCAACTAAGAGTTTGTTCAAGATGGCTGGAATTGGGCCCAAAAAGGACTGAGACACGTCAAGGTCCATAAACAATGGAAAAAAGAAAAACACCATCCAGCCATCTTGACTGAACAAGCTTGGTAACAATGGATTTATTCTTGGGTGTCAGGAGTACCATTACTTGCCGCAAAGAGCAGGTAATTTTGAGAAGGAAAGATAGCCCTACCTTACCCAGTTGAATAGCCAATCACTGTTCGTGATTTGGTTCATCTTGCCTACATGTGCAGGTAGACATGAGCTTAATTCTTGCAGTTTATCTTTCCTATACAATGCCTGCATGTAATTGCATCAAGTTTTGATCAGTTCAATAGACTGTCTGTCCTTTGGAGTGATTAGCCGAGTTTTGGTTTTCATAGTGAACTGAAAACTCTGCTAAAATAATTTTTGGTTGGTAGACCAATAGTGGATCACTACAGCCATAATAAGTAATTATGATATTAGAATG